CCAATATACAAGGATGATTTAATGGCCTTATTCTAGTTAAATAAATTGTCCTCCAATATTGGCAACATAATAATCAGTCAGGTTCCAAATCATCATAATTTAATTAACCAAGTCTCAGATTCTTCAATCCTTTCAATACTTTACATACCCAACTATTAACAAAACTTCTTTCTCTTCAATTTCCTTTCCAAAAATTCTCTAATATAATTATTGGAATTATTTAACTTCCTAAGTTCTATTCCTAAAACAAAATCAATCTCATTATCAAAGATATACCAATTCAAGCTCGAAGAAGAATCAACTCAGTTTCCTCTTATAAAGGTCATGATTTTCAAGTGAAACCACATATTAAAGATATGCTCTTAAAACAAGAATTTTAGCTTAATTGAATCCTCACCTCCTCACAGTCATGGACAACAGAACTAGGAAGAAAGAATTTAGAAATTTCATACCCCTAACACCTATGCACATATGTTGTACTAGAAAAAGGATTCAAAATTGCCACACCTAACCAGTCCAATAAAAGCAAAGAGAAATAGAGACAAACAATGGAGAAGGAGGAAGAAGCTGAAGCAGCTCAAACAAAGGAGGAAGCTCACAATGAAGAATATGGGAAAGAGAAGATCAACGCATGCATACCCTAGTACTATCGAAGGAGGAGGACTTTGGAATTTTCCTCTAGTTACTGGCGGTGGAAAAAGAGAGACGAAGCTAAAGGGAGAGGAAAGATTGAACCCCTGCAAGATCACATAGATAGAGGAAGAGGAAAATCTCAACAGTTTTAAATAGAAAGGAAAGAAAAAATTATAAGTTTGGTGGGATAGGAACGACATAGCTCCACTCCGGGGTTGGTGCCAAGGACGAATGGCAAAAAATTTAGAGGCTGGAGCATAATGGTGAAGGTTTTGGATGAGGGCTGTTGTTGTCTCAAATAAAGCCAAAAATGCAAAAATGTAATTGGTAAGAAGGAAGATAAAAAAAATATGATGGAGCTAAGGAAAAAGGGTAATTATACCTAAGTTTGAAAAATTAAAAAAATATAATCCCGTTTAGCATCAAAGGAATTGAAGCTAAAACCTTAGATTTAAAGTAAATAATGCCTACCACCAAGCCATTAGTTCACTTTGAAAGATTAATGCCTAAACATATAAAAATATAATTAACACACCTTGACATAATTTTAAATTATTATTATTATTATTATTATTATTATTATTATTTCTTGGGTTATTACATCCATTTTTCCTTGAGGATTCAAATCCAAAACCAGAGAGTATACATCAAAAGAGTTTCTACTAAACCACCACATCTTTCTTGCTATATTTATCCCAAAATTAATACAATTATATATAAAATACATTATCATAAATCTTAAATTTATACTTAAAACTTTGGGCCATTATATTTGTGGACCAAAAAGAGCATTTTGTAAAGAGGTTCCCTAACAAATCCAAAAAAGATATGAAACTCCTTCAGTCCTTTAAGATAGTTGTTCCCCTTGATAATAACCAAGATGTTAAATCTGTCCTTGAAGAATAATATGAAAGGGATGAAGAGATCCAATATGTCTTTCACATATCAAGTTCTGATGATGAATAGTATCCACAACAATATCCACTGCTTTATGTTATTGAACCCCTACTTAAGCCAATCTAGAGCCTTAGCCCATCTCCTTTTAGGCTTACAAATCTAGGTTTATGAATCTCAGCCAACAACCCTCTTATGTTGGGCATTCTCAAATTCCATAGCCCAATGTAAAGATTCAACTTCTACCTAGTAAATATGATGTTCCTATCTTAATTATTGCCTTCATAGACACTGGTTCTTGCAGAAGTGTCATGAAGCCTTACATTCTTTCCAAAAAAAAATGAGTTCCCTATAATGAGTATTTTGTCATTGCTGATGGAAAAATTTTCAAAATAAATCTTACTACCAAAAGAAAAATTAATATAAAATTTTTCTTCAGATGCACATCTCTTAGTCCTATTTCTTATCACCATCAAAATCGTCTCAAAGATAATAGTCATAATTAGGATTACACATTTTTGGGATGCAATCCTAGATAAAATGACCATTAATATGAGAGATATAGACTGGCTTAGCCTCTTTTATGAACTACTCAACCGGGGGGACTTTCTTGTGCTAAATATAGACTGGTGCAATTATCAAGATCCTATTAAAGGTTTGGGCTGGCTCTTGAGATCCAAGCCTCTTGAAGACTAATTTAATAGTCTTATCTATCAATTAATACAAAAGAGGGGATCTTGTAGTATGAACATCTTTTTGGTTATTCTGCAACTCTTTTTCATAGTTGTTGATCTACTACATTGGCATCAACTAGGCAAGTTCCTCTTGTGGCAAGTGTGTCGGTATCTAGATCAAAAATTCACCAAGTCTATCAACAATTATATATAAGGCAAGCCAAATTGAGTTAGGAAAGTTAAGTTCAAGTGAATAATCTTGAAGTCTATAGATGATTTAGTAGTGAAAGGTGGCCATAGTGGTAGAGGGTTATTGTTTAGCTCTAAGATCTGGATTTGAACTTTTAGTTTGGTGGAGAGAGTGGGATCTATGAGTTTGATATTAAAATCAGGGGCTATGGTAAGAATCACACTCCCTTGGTTGAGGGTAGTCAATAGAGTTCCAATTAAGGCATTACTGTATGACTTGTAAGTGGTGTCTAGCAATGTTATCTTGGTTGAGCAGGAATACCTTTTTTTTCAATGAAGAGCCAAGATTAGGCGGTGGTCTGACACGGAGATGTGTATACCCTTCGCTGACCCAAGTGCTTATCAAAGGTTGGGAAATTTCAAGGGTAATATATTGTTCAACGGTTGTGGCTAGAAGATCATATTCGTCAAATTTAGAAATTTGTACAACTTTTGGCAGCGATCATTAGGTAGAAATAAGGGATTTGATATCCCTAGCTAAAGGAATTGGTTCTATATGATATAGCTTGTGAGGATTGAGGAAAGGAAGATCTATATTTTGGATGCAGGCATTTTCTAGTAAGGTGGAGAACTCGATAAGGTTCTCTATTCTATTAGAAAGGGTTCTTCTTATAGAAGATGGAAGGCGATCAAAAGATATGGCTGAAAAAAGGCGAACAGGTTCGAGGAAGTAGCTAAGCTTTCTGGTATTTCACACGTACTTTATAGGTTCTCCTTACTCATTTTTCATCAATAATATCTTATCTCTGTGAAGAAGAGATTTCTAATGCATAGGTTCCTCAGAGAAGCAAATGTAGAGCACACTTGAATCTTGATATAATAGAAGTAAGATATTACTAAATCAAACTTTCAGGAGGGAAGAGAGAGTTTATAAGAGAAGCATGGCAGAGAACACATTGATTTTATTTCTTCAAACAAAAATTTAAGTTGGTTCAGTTGGTAAGGAGTTGGATCATAATTTATAAAATCGTGAGATCAAATCTCGTAACTAATGTGAGGACATTATTAGTAGGTAGTTTATAAGTACCTTTATAAGCTCTTTCTTTGAGTCTAAAGGTATGCTCTAGCATTGATGAGCCACCAAAGCCCAACTTACCTAAACTTTCACTACATTGAAAAAAGAAAATCCAACCATACAAGAGCAAACAAAAAGATTACCCTTCATTATTAATTCGTGATTTGCAAGAGGAAATTGACGATGGCTTGCATCTTATCCGGTAGAGAGAGCATAGAAGGGAAATCTTCGTCAGGGTGAGATCGCCAAAGGTGGCAGGAAAATGTTTAGAGAAAATGGCTCAGGTAAACCCAAAAAAAAAAGTGTTTTTTTATTGATGTCTTTAAATGGAGCCGCAGAGACACGCAAGCTCATCTTTTATTAAACCGCACGCCAATAAAAACTTATATTGATTCATGTAGTGTAGTTAAACATCTCATTTCCTTCTTCTGCCTTTCTTTTGTCACACTCCTAATCGATACACACACACACACACACACATATTTATATTTTGTTTAGAATGTACTTTTCTAAAAATTCATTCATTTAATTTGCTTCTCAAGATATTTGCCTTGAATATTAAACAAATATATTTGAGGTTCTTGAAATGATATTCAAACAAACAGTCGGTGCTATATCCTTCATTTCAGTTCACTTCATCAGATTGACATTGAAGACCAATTTCATAAAAAAATTTGTCATGTAAATCATGGACACTTCGACAAAAAATTCGAATCAAATTAGATAATGCATCATAATAATAATTTAAATAAAAGATTAATTCAATTGGTAAGAATTTAACTCATAACTTATAAAGTTATGGGATTATATTCCATTGTTGATATTGATCTGTAAATATTTATGTAAACACCTTTTAAGCCTCAATATGTGCCCTAATTTTGATGGTTCCCGGGACCAAATCACCTAAACTTTCTATTATATTATAAAAAACTAATAATGTTTAAATTTTAGTCCTTTTTATATAACTATATGTTAAATTTTACACCAATACACAATGACTTTGATTATAACTTTTTAGGATGAAGGCATACAATGGAAACACGATATTTAATTGTTTATGACTGTGGAATAAACTTTTAGGAAATAACCACTATGCTTTATTAATCTATAAGAGACTTTTGAATACGTCCCTCAACAGCTGTATTGTCGTTTCGTCACAAAGCACGTGCTCGTTCATGACTCAGTCTTTAGAAGTTTAGCATTAATTGCCGTGGCATTGATGGAAATATATCAAACATTCCATGTTGCCTGATGCGATATTTTTTTTTTTTTCTCTTTTCTATTGCCTTATGTAAAATTGACTTCTTGTTGAAAGCAATCCCATGGAGGACATGTATAGTTAGACAATAAATATGAGAGCTTCTTATAATAAAAATTCGAATGAATCCTGATTCATCACATGCAAGAGATTATCATCTTTTTGCTAGTCTTAATTTTCGCTAGTGCCTAATATGATCTTCTATTTACAACATGCATGCAATTATTTGAAGATGTGACTGCAAGAATTTTATTGGGTGAACTCTGGAAACTAACAGGTTAACTGCAATATTACCAAGGGAATTTGGATCTGATCTTCGCCGTAGGTTAAGTCTGTTATTGATGACAAGTTAGGGTTACTTTAGATGCTGCGAACAGAAAATCTTTCACCTCGAGCCGTGGCATTGAATTAGATGGTGTTGTATCTGTTGATTGGAAGTTCAAAATCGATCAATCGCGTTATTAACAACTAGAGATCCTGGATCGTTTATGTGGAATATGGCAGTGATGACATCGATCTTTGTCACAACATGATCAACTTGACATACACCAATATTTGTTTTGGTGAAATGACAGAAACTAATGTTATACATTACGGCAAGTGTATCCTTATACAAATCAACAACACATTACCGCACGGAACTCCTTCTGACAGACTAATTAATTAACAAAGCTTTCAGGATTCGGTCCAATATAATGGTATGGTACGGCCTCTCAAATAATGCTACATTGTTGAAATGAAAATTGCTCACTTAATCACACACGTACTCTCTCTGATCCTATGTATATTCATTTCTAACATATTTTATTAAAATTGAGAAAAGATGCTCAGTTATAATAATGTACTCCCTTCGTCCTAGCTTATGATGCATATTTTCGACAAAAATTACATATCAATTTAGTTCATTATAAATGCAGTTTACAATCTTAATTTTTTTAATAAACTTCCAAAAATAGTCTTCATTAATAAGAGAGAGGAAATAAATTTTTTTAAGGAGTGAAATAATGATGGGTAATATAGAAATAATCATCATTAATGAAACCTTATTTTTTTAAAACATTTTGTATTTTGGGGTATCAAGTTATCAATTCTAAAAATGTCGTATAAAATAGGATGGAATGAGTACTTCCTCTTACCAACATTTAATGAGGGGTAAATGAGAAAATTTGTAATAAAAAAATCAATGAGACAACTTATAAATTAGAATTTTTCCTATCTCTATCTTCTAAATAAAACCTGAAGGAGAATGTATAATCTAGACCTAAAAACAAATTAAAATAAAAAACTTTATCTAAATAGTCTTATAATTGAACATATATTATATTAGCCTTCGCTTAGTTGTGATCCTCATGAAGTTAGGCTATAAATAGACTTCTCATGGTGGTCCCATTCTCACCATCTCCAGCAACCAAAACTCCATCTTCTTCATTCACACTGGAGAAAAACATATCCAAACATGGTTATACCTAAAAAGGCCTCAATCATCCCACTAGTGCTGGCTTTGATCGTAGCCACGTTCGACGCCCAAAACTCACCGCGAGATTTTCTCAGGGCTCACAACAGGGCTCGAGACGATGTCGGGGTTGGTCCCATGAGATGGGACCCAGACTTAGCCAAATACGCGCAAGACCACGGCAACAAGCTCAAGGCACGTTGCAGGCTAGTGCCGTCCGGTGGCCCTTACGGCGAGAACCTCGCACGGAGCCGCGGCGACCTTACAGCATCCAGGGCGGTGAATATGTGAGTGGCGGAGAACCCAAACTATGACTACGAGTCGAACTCTTGCAAGGGAGGACCGTGCCTGCAGTATACTCAGGTGGTTTGGAAGAAATCGATTTGGCTCGGATGTTCTAAGGTTCGGTGCGACAATGGACTAGGCACCATCATCATCTGCATCTATAACCCAAAAGGGAACATCAAAGGTGAACGTCCTTGTGATGTTTCAATTTCAAGTGCCCTCGAGCTTTGAGAATGACGATGGAATAAATATATGGTGCTATTGTGGATTAATGAAATAAATTTGAGGTCTCGAGTACCGAGTACGCACGTGGTGTGTTGTGTTATGGTGGGTTATTATTTTCTGATCATGTGGTGATGACTCTGATTTAATTTGTGAGTTGTATGTGGTTTTTAAATTCCTATGTATGGTGCAAATGAAGGAGTAATTTCTGCTATATATATGCAGATAATTGTGTAAAAGTTTACGGTTAACATACACATAGTTTTTTGTATACTTGAAAATTTATCTGTCCTTGGCTCAGAAACGTGTCAATATACCAAATTACTTCATGTATGTCTTATTTATAAGGAGTGGGAAATTTTTTTTGTCCTAATTATAAGTCTTATTACTAAATTTTCATCACAAATTTTTATTTTATCCTCTATATTAAATATTAGTAAGAGAAAATAGGTCAATGGAGTATGTATATTTAATTGCAGCAATGTTAAGAAGTTATTAAAATTTTTAGATAGAGCAATTAATGATATTTAGGTTTTTTTATTGGCTCCAATAAAACTAAAATATATTAAAAGTGACTTATATATAAATTCAGAAAAATATATAAGACTATTGAATATTCTTATTTATTTCCTATGCCAAATGGTATTACCTTAGCTTCTAATATATAAGACGAAGTTAACAAACTTTAAATTTATTAAAAAATGTTTATTAAAATTGAAATTGTAAAAAAAATTGTAATTTTCTAATTTTAGCTTTTTTTTTGTAATTAATGATTGTAATAAATTATTATTCAGAAATTCAAATGACAATAGATATATAAGAGATAAAAATAAAAAAAGCATTAATTACTTTAATTTTGTCTTATATTTAATATTATTTTTTTAAAAACTTTGTCTTATATTAAGGATCGGGAGAAGTATACAGCATAAGTTATGTTTAACAAAGTTTACATTTACTCTGTTGGTTTTTATATATATATATATATATATAAATCAGTTTCAGTGTTATCATTAGAAATTAAGCAGACTTAAAACTCATTCACTATGTCTGAAAAGGAAAAAAAAAATTAATTTTGCCTTTATTTAAACCCATTTGATGTAATTTTGAAAAAAATACCAATATTAAATGAGGATAATTTGAAAAATATGTAATAAATAACATATGGTGCCTTAAACTAAAAAGAACAAAAATTTTCTCCTCCAACTATCCTATAAAATAATCGAAGAGAGTACAAGATTAGTTAACTCGTTAAATTTGTAAACAAAAAATTATTCGTATAATATTTTTTACCATTACCCATATTCGTACAACAAAATTTTCAAGGAGCCTAAGTTTTTTAAAAATCAAATCCGTAATTGAATTGGTAAAAGCAATAATTCGCAGTTCACTGATTTGACAGTGACTAAACTAGTTGCCAATAAATTGAGATTTTTTAAGTTAAAAAATATAAAATTTTTAATTAAATTTTACTCTCAATAAAATAATTATCTACTTGTAAACTAACTCTATTTTTTTATATTTTTTTATTAAATACCCTATAATAAATATAAATTCATTCATCAATAGGGGTACTTTAAAAAAAAGATAATGATTACATTTCAAAAGATTAAAAATACTTTATATTTTTTAACATTTAACTCCTTAAAAAATATTAAAAAATATCTTATATTTTTAAATGGAGGGAGTACATTTTTCAAATAACTCCAAGAAAAAACACAGGTTATGGACAGAACTGTTGCAATGTCCGCGATGATTCAGATGAATACTGATTAAAGATGCAGGAGAGACAGCATAATTATATTATCAGCCGAGAGGAAGAATGGCATTAATTTTTTTTTTTAAATCGTATGAGATAATATTTTAAATCTCATGCATTATTGAGATAATATAATTGTAAGTGTAAATACACACACAGATGGGATGGTCATTAAAAATATTTTTAAGACATTATTAATAAATTGTTAATTATAATAAGAAAGTTGCCGACAAGAGTTATGTTATTCAAATTTCTAAAAGATAGTTGTAAATATTTTTGAAGGAAATTCAGTGTCTCAAAACATAGATATTTTAATAAAAATAAAATTTTATTAATTATAATTATTTTAATATTACTTTCTTTCTTATTACATTTTCTCTCTCTATTCAATATTTCACAAGATTATAGGAGTATTAAATAAAGAATATTTTAAAAATTCATCTTTGCATTCTAAAAATAATATTATCAATTAATTTTTTTCCATCAATTATAAAGTATATGTAATTAATCTTATTGATATTCATAATTTTATTAAAAAAATGTCTTATATAAATTAGAACAATGAGAGGAGTAGTTAAGATAACCGGCATGGCAGTTTTCCACTTGTATTATGCCGTATATATAAACAAGACAAAGTTAACCAGGATGAGAGAGAGAGATCCGATATGGTCATGCACGCAGATTTGAAGTTTGAATACTGTGATAAGCTAATACTCCCTTCATTTTAAATTATAAAATATTTTTAGATAAAATTTTATATATTAATAAAGTTCATTAAATACACTTTACAATCTCACTTTTGCAAGACAAACATATAAAATTTTAAAAATGTTCTTAATTTAATACTCCATTGATAAAAAATATTAATGAGAGAGAATATATGGGAAGAGTAATACTAAAAAACTATCATTAATGAAATCTTATTTTTATCAAAGTGTCTTATATTTTAGAACACTAAATTTTTCCTAAAAATATCTTATAATTTGAGACAGAAGGAGTATATATTAAAGAAAAAAAACCTATATACTTAGCCTTAAAACCTATATATTTAACTTTATATACTTAATGTACTTGTTTCTAATTAAATCAAAACATATGGATCATATACAGATTATTTATTTTATAATAAAATATTGTTATTAATTTTATTAAAATATTAAAATCTACTTGTCATGATTTGATTGGAAACAAATACATTAAATATATAAAGTTAAATATGTAAGTCTTACCTTATGTTAAATTAACTGAGCAACTCGAAAGGAGCAGGGAAATTATTTAATTGGTCGGATATAATTCATCACGCTTAGTTGCTTATATTACCATCATGCATGCATACATATATATATATATATATATATTTACAGTAATGTTCGAATTGGTGGATTTAGATTTGAATTTTAAGTTTCAAATCTCACATTGAAAGTTAATGAATTTAAATCGTTTTAGATAGTTTAAAAAAATTCAAGTGGATAAGATAAATAAATTAAGATTTAAAATGAAAATAAAAAATATGAAGTAATGAGTTTACTTCTATTCTTCAATTGATAAGAGGAAAAAAAAACCAAATTTAGTCGGCTACATGGATTCTACAGTCACAAATGCCTCAACTATATGTTCAGGCACAGACGGTATGTACATGCGTCAACTACATGTTCAGGTACGGATACTACTTTCAACAAAACAATAACAAGTTTTATTTTATTAGATTTAGTCGATTACATGAATTGTATGATCGCGAATACTTCTAGCACCCGAATTTACTGATGGACACAGAAAGTTCAACATGAACAGAAGGGGATTGCAAGTTGGAACGGATAGAAAGCACACATGTATTCTGGGATATCACAACTGACCACGGATA